TGATCCCTGCAACTCAAGGCTCAGTTGCGGACCTTTGTGTTTTCTACCATTTAATAAATACAAGAAAATAATTTATGTTTTTTTCGATAATATCTATTATTTTATCTCTTATATAAATATACCATATTGTAATGTTATAGGTTATATGTATTTTCATTAATATATATTTTTAAATTAGTAGAAAGCCTCACTCTGAGTTGCCTTATGACATACTCGTACTTATTACATAATCAAGATTGTCTGTAATAATTGATCACCTAACAAATTAAAGCAGATTATGCAATGACACTAATGTAGATAACGGGTATATAAACTTAAATATAACATTTTACCAATAAAGCTTACATACTTAATGAGAATGACAGACTAACTGTAGAATAGAAAATCTTCTGCTTTCGATGCTTTTATAATATTAGTTTTTGATATTAGTTTCTTTTATACATCTCACACACCGTCGGCCGTCTGATCCTAAACTAGGCAGAGCCTGTACTATGGTAACCAGACTGCTGATAAACATACTTATATATTTCCAAATACATACATAATATAGATATTACACCCAGACACAACAAATGATCGTCACACAATCATTTGTCGTGGGTGGGAATCGAACCCACGACCTCCGGCTTAGCAGTCAGGGTCACTAACCACTAGACCAACAGACCCGTCAATCATATATCATTCTTTTATCACGTTTATCATATTTCTTCCACTTCGATATTTCTTCCACTAGATATTACTACGTGCAAAATCGTATGCCCTACGTTGTTACTTAGTTAAATTTATCTGCAATAACAATACAAAAGTTACATTTTAAAATGTCTTTGTAAGAGAAATAAGTATGTTTATGTTAAAACCCAATTCTTTAGCAGAAGATTAAGATGTATCTTTATTGTAATAGAACTAAGAATTTAATTCCACGTACCACATATGGTTTGATGCGGCGGCGGCAGCGTGCAAGATTCTTTGCTAATTGACTTGTCAGGCAGGAAGCCCTTAACAAGTAGAAGTAAAACTGATTTATTACTTTAAAGGAATTCCTTATACAGTTTTAGATTATATTCGAGGTTCTTAAATAATCGATATAGTGAAACGACGATTAAAGAATTGCAAACGTAAGATATAGGTATTTTACCAAAAATAAATCGGAACATAATGTGTTATCCTAATAAAAATTCAAAGTAAAACACCAGTAGCGTTATGAAGTTACAAACTGTACGAGGTTGATGATGCAACTGCAGGCGGTTAATCAATATCGAAACCCCTTTTACAATGGGATTTTCTAATGGAATTTTCTGAACTGTTTCAATTTTATGGCTATAGGCTATTAATTATTAGGCTATTGGCAAAAAACTAATTAAAAACCAAAAAAACTAACTAATTAAGTATCTTTTCAAATTTCCTGCCAAAAAATCGAGTCTGTGAGATTAGTTTGATGATTTCACTAAAGCTGATATAGTAGTAATCAGTTCCATTATTATAGTTTTTTCAATTTAAACAATGTGGTTTTAGGTTTTTAAACATTGTAATTCAATTAATCGTTTGGTTAAAGTGTAACTTTATTGTCAACTACCCTATTAAATAGATTTAAAATAATTGCAATTTTATATTTTAATATTCAGAAAATTATATTCAAAAGACCATGACCAAGACTATTCGTCATTTCAGCATAAAGAGTTACTTAAATTTTAGATTATTGGCAGGTATGCATTTTGAAAGAGTGGAAGTTAATGGACAGAGGTCCCTAGGGTCTCTGGTCACTATGGGGGTTCCGCAGGGCTCGATTCTCGGTCCTGTTTTTGTTTCTTGTTTATATAAATGGCCTACCTAATCTGATAAAAGAAAATCAAGAGATAGTGCTATTTGCAGATGACGCTTCACTTTTATATAAACTTAAACGACAGCAATCAGTAACTGATGACGTGAATAGCACTGTCTCTAAGGTTGTGAACTGGTTCAATATTAATAATATATATATATATATATATTTAAGTTATACTAGCAACCGAATTTACTTTTAAACGAGAATAACACGAAATGTATTAGATGTTTTACTCCTAATGTTAAGCAGGTAAAAAAAAAACAGTGTTCTGATCAATGGACAGGAGTTGGATCTTGTGGACACCACCAAGACTCAGCTCTGCAAAATACACGGTTTATTTTAACTGGTGTATTTTAACTATTTTTATAGTGTAATGTCATACGGTATTTTGTTATGGTTAAATGCTGCTGACATTCAAAGTATCTTTGTGTTGCAATAGAGAGCTATTGAGCAATTTATAATCTTATTTACAGGCAGTCACTGAGGGATAAGTTTAAAGAAATTAGTATCATGAATATTTTAGTAATTAGTGAAAATTATTAGTCGTTGATCTTGACCAATATCGGTTAAGCTACACGATGGCTTGAAGATGTATGCCGTCTGTATGGACAAGCCGACTCAAAACTATGGTCCTTTCTTCAAAAAGCCTACCCAGACCCTATACTGTACTTACACAGTTTTATTTAACTTTGTTTACGGACTAAAAAAACACCTCTGAAGTTTTTTCGGCGTTACTTCCCAGAGTGAGTCTTAGGAAATGCTGGGTCCTACAAGCTGTAGCTACAAGCCGACTTGTAACAATATCTGAAAAGTTTTAATTACAGAAATAAATATTATTTATTAATTTCATCAAATAATACCTATACCTCGTCCGATATCTCGAAAATTGTTAGGTTTGGGATACGGTATTTCATAGTGAAATCTATCAGAAATGACGGCAACTGCAACCCTTTAAACTATTTACGGAAATTAGGTCTAAGTTCGGCACAGTAAACCGATTCAAAGAGGCAAAGGCAGATCAGTCAAATCATGAGACACACATTTTTTATATATTTTTTAGTATTGATTTGATGCAAATGAGTCAATATTGTAGGTAGATTGAGTTTTATCGGATTCCACCATCTCCTTCAATTCAGCGTTATTCACTTCGTTCTTCAAGTCGAAGTTTCCATTACGAAAGTGTTTGAACCAAAAACGCACTTAGCCACTGCATTGATTTTGTTTATACAAGCTCTTTCGATTGTATTCCGAAATTAAAAAGCATTCAGTTTAAAGTTAAACTGAATAAATTCTAAATTTAAAATGTGACTCTATATGACCCGCATAAACAAACATTTTCACTTTATTTCATAAGGTAATTTTAATAACAGCCTTATGTGTTTTCGCACAATATTTATATCAGAAGACATACATATTCTAGAAATCAAATTAACGGTTGATTTAACTTTCTATAGGGGCTTTTATCAATTATTTTCTGTAAAACATTTGTGACGACAAATGTAAAATGAAGAATAAAAGAGACTATATTAATCTAATTTATATGTGCGCCATACGGTCTTTCTTTAGTAAGACATTGTTTTTTATACTGCAGTACCTATAGTGCTTACTGCAGCTACGGATCACGGCTAATGCACAAACACCAAACAAACACCACAAACACAAACACCACTATCGGTAAAAATAACATTGCCCTATTAAGTAAACTACCTATAGCACGCTGTTGTACCTCAATAAATGATCGTAATTTCAGAAAAACAGTACTCATGTGAAACAGGCATTAATAGTGCTTTATTAGAAGTTAGGACGTTACCCAAAATTATTTTGGATATGAAAGTAGAACTTTAAACACTGAGTCCCAACTTTTTATCCGAATCCATAATTAACTAGACATGTTTTTGTGATTGGACATATTCAAATGGAAAATTCATTCTGTTTTAGTAGTTTCAATTTTTTTTTTTTTAAGTAGGAGCATGTAACATTCATGTGGGAGAGCCAAACCGCTGTGGGAGACGGAGTTTCAATGTAATAATGTATGAGTAACACGCATAAAAAATTATTTAATTGATAATAATAAATAGTTGCGGTCCTTTCTACAACAAATACACTAAACACAACAATCCAACTCAAACACGACATACGAGTATAGTTACAACAATAAATGCCACAACATTACTTCAGAGTAATCCAGAACATCACATGTCATACACATATCTTTGTAAAAATTGTTTCCGGGTATTTTTCGTTGTATTAAAATACTTATAAGATTATGTTGCCTTATATGGTTGGAAATTACGTTCTGATAAACGAACAATCTGACTACATATATGGTTATTACTTCGTATTTATTAACGACACCATCGTCGTTAAATCATCGGAAACAAATCATCAATTTTCATATTTTTATTCGTACGAACATAGGAACGACTATTTGATAGTTATGTGAATTGAAACAATCTGTGTGCATCTGCGAGATGACATTGATTGGCTTTCTATAGCGGTTCCATTTATAATCGTTTATCGATAGCCCCAATGGTCTCTGACAGAAATAAAGCTATTTTGATAACTTATCTACTGATCATCTTCAGGTACCAAAGATTACGACTCAAACATAACATTGATGACCCTATATCAGCCGCAACACCGAAATGCCACTCAATCTCTAAGCAGTGAGCTCGGCACCATTTCACCACGCAAATGACACGGTAATGAACGGGTCGATAGAGCCCAATTCTCCCAATAATCCGATGCCAATCAACTATATAGATCACGAGATTATTCGCGGCGGTTCGGTGATCGTGTCGTGAGAACGATAAGACACCGACGAGCAGGTGGTACCCTCCCCAACGATGGTTAACTGTTCCACCATCGTCAACCGAGCGAGCCGAGCGCGCCACCGCGCAGTCCCGACTCGAGAACCGCCAAAGCACGCGGGCCGCACTTCGAAACGACAACTGCTACCGTACCGTTTGTAACTTACGCGGGAAGAAAAGCTCTCCGCACAGTCTAGTGTGCTCTTTGGAAAAACCGCAGTGGCATTAAACATCTTTGACCGACAATAAGTGATCGTTTTATGACATTGTTCTTTAAAACGTATTTTTTTTTATATCACAGTAGTAAGGTAATCGGGGCAGATAGCATTAACGGTTGGCTCCGCGCTCGAGTGTGGCAGACCGCAAGCATGACGAGCGCTGGTGATTGCGTTCTCGTGTTCCTTATACTGGTATGTTAGAAACGCTTATCTCACTTACATATGTATATTTTTATCTTTTTTTACCTGTTGTTTGACTCATCCTAATAGGTACATACCTATTTCAATAAGTATTTACACCTTTTAACTAATAAAACTACAATTCTTTTTACAAATTGGAACAGACTTTTGTTCTTCTAAGTTGTGCCACTCAAATATTTCTTAAAATGAATGAAAAAACACCACTATGGCAACACAGCTTCTATAGCTTTCAATTTTTTAAACCTCTGTTAAAATTTAATGAAATTGTAAAATCAGTATGTAGGTATCGATATTAGCAAAGATAACGCAACGAATAAATTAATAATAGCAATAATAATAATAGTTAAAAAAACTAAAAAACACGCTTTTTATAGAAAACCAAACTAATTTATAAAAAAATATTTTCTATTTTTTAGTTTGGTTTTCTATAAAAAGCGTGTTTTTTAGTTTTTTTAACTATTTGTTTTTATAATATTATTTATTTTTATTTTTTAATTTAAATTAGTGTATTGTCATCGGTCCTCGATATATCTACAAAGTTTGACGAATTCTGACCGTTTAAAGTCAGTCAAAATCACGCACAAAGGCGTCGGTTACAAACAAACATACAGGTGAAGCTAATAAAAAGCGTGTAAAAAGAACGATACAGACAATTGATTTTTAAACCTATATAAAAAGGCTATTATTTTGCAGAGTTATAAATCATAACCGCTTCGTTCTCATTCTGGAGTATTTAAGATTGTATTTGAATCCGGTTTCCTTGAACAGAACATTATCAGAAATAGTGTTTGTAATAAGTGTATTATTGTAATCCAGCTTTGTATGGCATCAGCCTGTTTAACCCACTTTATTGTTTACTACGTAGGGTAAACATTACAAGTAAAATGTTAGTTATAACTCTATAATAATACGTGTATCATTTGAACGTGGGTAAAAAATTGCATAAATGCTTGTTTCATGCAACAACAATATCCTTCAATAAAACACTCAAGGCAGGGGCAAATGAGACGAAGTAACAAGATGTTTACGGATGACATCAAAAATTCTCAAATTATCCGCAAAAATCCAGTGGGCACCTGATGAGCTTTTACTATATTATTTGATGTTATTTCAAAATTTATGGATGTATTCAATCACTCTACTACATCTCTAATTAAACTTCTCGCTTCTAAATACTCCTCGATATATATATTTTTTTTATCTACGTTACGCGTTTTATCGAATAATAACACAAACTGCACTAGATGTTTTACGCTATGTGGATTTCTTGAAAAATATGGAGTAATAAGAAAATCGATTCTTATATTCATAACACATAAACTAAATCATCGTGTCCGATGTGTTCATTAGTACATACATTTATTTTAGAAATGTTCATTTATGTTTCTATCATAAATAGTAATGCTCGTTTGTTACTTTTCTCACTTCTTCTGTTTGTATTTCTAGGCATTTCGCCAATATTTTATTAAATATATTACGGTCCTTTTAGCTAAATAACTAGCCAAATCTAACTTAATTTTCTTCATGAAGAAGAAATATGTAGCTTCAAAAGTGTTTTGTATAATATGTTTTTTATTTTGTAAAAACTGACATTTATATCACATACAGTCGTGTCGTGTTATGAAACAACTAAAACATGACAGCTTTCTTGGTTTTTCTTATTGCTTTATAGAGATGATATGACATTATTGCAATGTTTACTAACCGGCTTATAAGGCTTCTGGTTGACAAAATTCAAGACGAAAAAGCCATGAGGATTACACATTTGAGTGTTAATCGTTTTATTCTTAGTTAATGAGCATAACCACAAGAATAAAAAGACTGAACAAATGATGTAATGCTACTGAACATAATTCACATCTTACTCAAACAAAATATGTTTGTTTATTGTAAGCATTAAGAAAACAAACATTAAGTGACAAAATAATGATTCTATAAAAGTAGTAATGCGCAACGTAGCTTTCCGTAGTTTGTTATTCGGGTAACGATTTAAACAAGGAACAAGTTTAGCTACATTTTTTTCTGAAAGTTTTGTATTTTTGATGATTTTTTTAAAAGTATGTACATTTTGTAAGACTATTTCTCGTGATAGTTTTTCTTCTGAATCCATTGTATTTACCATAGGTTATTATGATTTTTTTAGATTTTATAAGCCAGCAGTTAACTTGTTACACACCTGACTCCAACAAACATTAACGCCTTAAAGATTAGTATTAATCAAACGGGGCCTCAATTCTGCTATTTTACGTTTACGCCAAGCCACTGTCATACCACTGACACGCTATTGAGATGCCATCGAGTAGCCATTGGCATCGGTATAAATATCGGTCGTCTACACTACCTCAGTGTCTTTACAGTGGCGATGGAATGGCAGTGGCTCATCAGTGCTGATATCAAAAAGATTGCCATATTTGAAAAAATAAATAAATCATTTCCTTATAATTTGAAAATATAATAGTTTTTTTTTTAATAAATGATTTATTTATTTTATAAATGATCCGTCAATATAGGCAAGCAGATTACTCATATACATTGGACATCCATGATGTTTTTAAAACACCTATCCAAGGTGTCCACCTATCTTTCATATTTAACACGGGTGGTATTTTTTCTTCATTTTATTTCAAACTTAGTCAGCGGGATTTATATACAGTCCATTCAAAGTTACTGCTTTCTAGTACTGACACGGAATGACAGGCAGATATCACTGAACTCTACGGGTGCTTTAGGACTGAACGAATATCTAAATATAAGTCTTTTTTGAGTTTCGAGTTGACTTTTAAATATACATACGTTACGCGATGTCACACCTCCAAATTATTGATATTGACAATTTCACATAGAGAGGCCATTGATAATAAAATTAAATTATATTGGTTACATATTAAAATAAGTAAAAAGACGATTGAACTAGAATCAAAGTCAATAACACAATTCTCAGTCAATACTGAGAATTGTAATTATAATGTAAATGTAATATTACGGAATATTAATATTTTAATATTTAGCTTTAACCCAATCACATCGGTTTCGGGTATTTCTAGAACAAATCAATTCAATCTGGGCATTTTCTGTGCAGCCTTATATTCTTGTCGTCCAAATCATCTCTCCGTGCCTAATCTTTTTAATTTTTGTCATTACATCCCTTTTCCAGCCATACTGCTCCCGATACCAGTACTCCTATCTGCCACTAAACTTACTCCGTACAGACTTCTACTAAGGGATTTCAAAAGCATTAATGCTAGTTTTACACTTTGCTCTCGCTACCGTACATTAGGGTGGACATCAGCACGACCTTTTGAACTGCCATTTTCTACGTACTGAGTGACCTGTCATAAAGGCTTTACTATGTCTTTGACACATTTGATAGCCTTTTTTACACCCATAGATTTGTCCCTGGAACGGGAGAGTACTAGCTCTCTCCAGTTCTCCTTTTAGTGGACATAACTTCCTTATAAAATCACTTAGAATCATGGACACACCATGGTCTCCAGCGAGAGGCTTTCCTCTACAATAGCCGTGGTGCTCCTGACGTCCTTTATACTTCACAGTTATTTAGTGAACCAAGACTACCGCACAGAGTGGTTACATATGGTACGGTACATATGGTTAGTACATCTAAGTAAACTGAAATTAACGTGATTTCGCAAAGTTTCACATGGTTAAAATGAGTGTTGCATAGTATATGACTCATACACTTTGACCCTGATCAATTATATCTAATGCTTAAGCTGAAATAGGAAGTAAAAGATTTACATTTGATTTAAAGGGCTTAAAATGTTGAGTATTCTTTACGTTAGATTCAATAGGTTTACAAAAATGATCGTCCAATACGGTAAAGCACCATTAATTTAAAATTAAATGAACACCGAAATATGTATTTACTACCAAGCTATTTTTTATAATTCAAGGTTTTGAAAAACATCACTGCACTAAATGTCCACTTAGTTAATTCGTGAAGTGTTACAACAATTTAATTTTAATTATTTTAATTTCACTTTTTATTTCACATTTACAGTGAAACTCCAAAAAAATTCATGAACTGAAAGAAATTATCATACAATTATCATCTAATTAACCTTGAGTTTTCATTTAAAACACACCTCCAGTAGCTCTGAAAGAAGTGAATTTGTATTAATTTAATCTGCACATAATTTTAGAACATACTAAAAGAGTTACCTAACTCTTTTATATATAAATGTTATGTAACATACCTATGTTACATAACATTTATTTGTGATATTTTCAGATATTTATAAAATGCAATGATGTTTTCAAAATATCTTTGATTTTTTTAAACTAATTATTAAGTTTTTTCTATCCCTTCCTCAACATTTTTGTGCCTTTTTTTCGTGCGGCAATATCACAGTGTCTTTTATTACTCTCTTCGTCTGGCGTTGACCTATTAAAGCGCAAGAATGAAACCACTTAAAAAATTAAATTTTACATGAATTAGATCTTTAACATTCACACAAAAATAGAAACAAGAAACATTGATATCGATAGCTGTTCTAGTGCTAAAAATTAACAAACTTGTAAAAAGCTACGACTTAGAAAGTTGATTCTAGTTCGAAGCACATTTGTAACGAATCTGAGTGCTTTCAGTGCGTCAGCAAATCTAATAACACACAAAACAATAAAAAGCAGATAGCTATTAGTTCGAAACCATACAAAATAACCTTACTAAAGGTCACGAGGAAAACACATCTGACCTGTAAGGTCACGAACAACATTTTTTAAAGCGTAATAACTAAATTAACTCTAATGATTATAACAATAGCAAATGGGTTTTGAATAGTATTAGTAGCATCGGCAGTGAAGAACCTCACGTTCCGTGGTACCAGTTAAAGATCGTGCATGAATAGCGTGCTTGACTTGAGTTAACATCTGCGCGCACGCTTTTAATGTCCGCTCCATCCAGACGTAACTGCATCAAACTTATAGTGCACATAAAAATGTATTAATAGTAATTTATGTTAAAAGAAATTATA